TTATGATGAAAGGTTGCATTGTTTAGAGAAGTTGAATGATGTAAGGTCTATTCTTAAAATAAGCTTTACGTATGTAAAAGAGAGGGGTTTCCTCAATAACAATTCCAGAATTTGCTTTAGCTACCAAATTGGGCCAAACTCCAGTAAAATCTAAAAGACATGAACATTTCATTTTTATTACCGAGACTTTACAATACTTCATTTACTTCTTTAGAAAGGAAATTTACTTCCTCATGAGAATCAACTTTGAAGGTGCTTTTGCATAATATACAGTAAGATTACATCCTTACATGTATTGCAAATATCTAAATGAAAGTAAACGTACGTGATTCAGCTCTTAAAAACCAGCTCGAGGGGTGAAATTCATCTTATCATCTCTGTAAGGTGCCTGTAATATAAAGAGTAAGAATTATAATTGCGAAATTTTAAGTGTATTAATGCTAATGAAACAAAGTAAAGGAAAGAATTTTTCGTATTTCACACTTACTTCCTACATGCATGTTGGGTGGTTTTATGAAGATCTGGAGTTTGTTATATGAAAATTTTGTAAATTGATGTGCAACTGTTGTGTGACAAACAATTCTATATGTCACGCAACTGTTGTGTATCACATAATTCTATATGGCGCGCAACTGTTGTGTGACAAATAATTCTATATGGAGCGCCACTGTTGTGTGACAAATAATTATATATGGCACGCAACTGTTGTGTGACAATACATTTTATGTGGCACACAACTGTTGTATGACAAATAATTCTTTATGGTGCGCAACTGTTGTGTGACAAATAAATTTATAAGGCACGCAATTGTTGTGTGAAAATACATTTTATGTAGCACACAACTGTTGTATGACAAATAATTCTTTATGGTGCGCAACTGTTGTGTGACAAATAATTATATATGGCACGCAACTGTTGTGTGAAAATACATTTTATGTGGCACACAACTGTTGTATGACAAATAATTCTTTATGGTGCGCAGCTGTTGTGTGACAAATAATTCTAAATGGCACGAAACTGTTGCATGGGTTAATGATTTTGACAATTCTGTTAAAGACGCATCATACTATTTTGATACAATACTTCTGGAACTTTATTTATTACGAATTCATATAGAAATAAACCATAAACTCAATATCTACAAATAAGCTATAAATAACCACAACATCTCATAGAAAAATTATCAGAACCTTCGAAAAACTGCCAAAAATTTTACAAAACACCTACAGAGCATCTATACATATCACGAATGCGATGAATGTCATAGCAAATGTTGTATATGTATGATGATAATATGAAATGATATAAACTCTTACCTTCATTCTAGCTCAAGCCTCGAGTAAGGCTCAAAAAGAAAAAGTTTTTTTTTTCGGTATGTTTGCTTTAATTATGACACATGAAAATGTAAATTTTGCCTCCTATATTCACATTCTGTGAGATGTGAGAGATGGCTGTGATGTGATAAGAGAAGCAGAAACAGTGGAGATGAAGAATGGAAAAAAAAGAGGTGGAAAATAAACATAATTACTAAACATTTTACATTGAAAAATTTTCTTCGCGGTTTATGCTTATCATTTTCCCTTTGTGTAATTATGCAATGACTGTGAATATTCCTTTATTTTTTGTTTTATCTTTATGTTAATTAAAATTTTAATTCAACCAGTTTTCTTCGTTTTCTTTCCTCATTGTCTTTTGCGTTTAAAGTTTAGCGGTAATTTTAAGGAATATTATCTTTTGATGCTTAAATTCAAACGGTCGACTAGATCCAATTTAAGTTTCAAGCATCAAAATTTGGATCAGATTCTTGTAGCTTTCATTAGACAATAATAATTATGATAATGATGTTCTCTAGTAGACCTAGAAAATTAAAAGGGGTGTAATTACAATCAACTGTCATTACTAGAGTAAAGAAGCAAGTCATTTTACATTTTGTTTGGAGGCATGCGACGGAAATTGGGACAACGATCGATTTTTTTAAAGAGAATAAAAGTTGAAGTGCAAATCATATTCACACAAAATTTTCAATTTTTGTGAATATATTTAAAATTCATATTTTGCAGAAAATCAATTTTTTTTTATAAAGCTTTCATTGATACCAAAGCTTTTGAAAACCAGTTTAAGAAAGCTAGATTTATCTGAACTACATTTATTGAACACACAATAAGATTATTGAGTGCAAAATAAAGGATTTTCTATCTTGTTCAATTTACGGGAATTCAAAAACTAGAAACTCGACACTTTTTCAGCTTAAATCTTCTACTTAATCATTGTGGTATTTTAGCAAATTAGAATCTTTAGTATTGATCTATTTGTAGGTTAATCGGACAGTGCAAAAGAAAGACCTGTGACCTAGTGGTTAGGTTACATAATGGAAATCTATTGTAGCACTCTATTTTGTGAGAAAGTTGATTCGAATCCTAGTAAAGTCATATTTCTCAATCATTTATATAGGACAGTGATGGGCAACTCATGTGCTGCCAGTTTCGGTTATGGCTAACCACCAAGATGTGCCGTGGTCCAAGAAAGGTTGTCCACTTCTGATATTGCAATCTTGTTAATCAAGGTTATGTTTTAATACTAAATATCAGTCTTCGTCAAGCTTTGGCCTAAATTATCCATTGCAAATAAAACGATGAAATTCTTCCATACGAATATGAAAGCTTCAAAGATATTCTGACAAGAATTCTGTCCACAAAACATCATCTCTGCTACAGTTCGATGACAGATGTCTTTTCCTCATATTTTCAATGTGTTCTATTTTTCATTCACTCATCATGCAACAAAATATTCATTTCAATTCATAAACATCTGAATGAGCTTTTTTTCATGTCTGTTAATTAGTAGACTTGCACGAAATCTCACCAAAAAAAGTAAAGCACACTTACAACATATAATTAAATGAGGATTAGTGGCTTGAATCATAATTAGAGGTTCTGAATTGTCTTTAATTATTGTGAAATTTATGAGAATACCTTGACAATGGTGTGATGCAGACTGTTGTGGATGTTTCTGATTATAAGACTTTTTTTTGCTTCATACATAATTAAGTAATACACGTTTTGGGAGCTTGCTGTTACTGACTGGTTGTCGTTATTTTGTTGTTTTTATAAAACGGATTTTTTTTTCCTTTCGAGTTGATTAAAACTAATTAAAGATTTATTAAAGCTGTTCATTAAAACATGAGAAACTCATTCCGATGTAAAATAAATGGAAATGGAATTCGGAGGGATGATGATGCGCAATAACATGTGTTCAGGTGTGTTATCATGGAGATAACGGCAATATCAGATATCCAACGATGACCTTCTGCCATTTTTCGTTGCCTTAGCACTCATGTTACTGGATGTGCAGCAATTTAAGCTTTCTAAATCCTTCCATCATTCATTCATAAATAATCAGCTCGAAACTCCCAATTAAGACTTGATTAGATTCGTTTGTCAGAACAAAATGTCAAGAAGGATTAAGTCTGAAAATTCCACATAGAATCAAAAAGTATATCCACATCCAAAACTTTCACATTTCTCTGAAAATATTCAATAAGCTTGAGTGAATGATTAATAAATGATGAATTAACTCTTTGGGAATTTTAATAGGTTGTAATGAAATAATTAATGCCATACTCTTTAGCTTTAGCAAGCTACAAGTTAGGCATAAAAGTTTTATATTCAATTTTAGCTTCAATACTTTGTTGTTGCTTGAAACATGAGAAGCTTTGAACATTTCCGGTGAATTTAATTAAGGAATTTGAATTTTCGAATTTTTGAAAAATCAGTTCCTGTTTTTAAATTGATTAGAATGGGAAATCAATACTGGGGAGGCAGTGAGGTTTTCTGTTAAAGCTTTGAGCATTCATACTGTTGATCCTCTAACTTAAACGTTGTCAATAAAGCAGCAACTATGATCATGAAGCTAGTTGATTTGTATTGAATGTTTGCAACAATACTTAATTGCGTGGTCCAGGACATCAATACATACTTTCCACAAATTGAGTGATCGGGATTTAAACGAATCGAGTTGCATCCTCAGAAAAGCAAAAAAGAACCGTAATCCAATTAGACATTCAATAGAATCGCAACAAGGTTGTAAGAATCGGTTGGTCGACACTCTAAGTCAGTGTTTCTCAAACTTTTTTGTCCACGGCACATTTTTCTATTTAATATTTTTTGCTTTACAACTTTAGTAGTCTCGTAGCGCAGTAAATGATTTGGACACAAATGTGCCGCAGCACACAGTTTGAGAACCACTGCGTCAAAATATTAATTTAACCCTTTTTTAAGACCTTCCATTCTGTAATAAACAAAATATTACGCTGAAATATTAAAACTTCATTATTTTATGTTAAACAAATATAACATTTTATTATTATTATTTTTTGAAAATTAATGATTCAGTCTTTCAATATATACAATCATAGAAATAAATTTTCAAATTAAATTTACTTTTTCACTATTTTTTATTTTTATATATTTTCACGCTGTAAGTTGCTGTATTTGAGAAGAGAAAAAAATTGTTTTCAATTTTTATTTTATTTTCATCAATTTTAGTAAAATTTATTTTACATTATTCTTTTTTTATAGAAAGTTGTTGCTTTGATTCACAATCTTTGGTCGTATACGATGCAATGTGATACATGAGGAATTAAACAGTATGAGTTTGAAGTCATTTGACTGCCAAAAACATTTAAAATTTAATTTCTTAAGATTGTTTTAAAAAAAATTTGATCATTTCTATCCAACTACGAGCAGTTAAAGACATTTCAATCTTATGCTGCTTAAGATCCTCATCGTGTCGTCCCATCTGAATCACTTAAAAACATTTTTCCTTCAAATTACAAATTTTCCCATTTTCTAATTCTTAAGTAACAGCAACTTTGGACGCTTTTTACTGATTCTTTTAATCATCTTTCCTTCTTCCATCTCCATTTTTTTTATTTTTGATTCTTTTCAATATTATTTATAAGTTAAAAAATTTCACAATACAAACAGCTTCGCAAGCTGCTCGCGGTAGGAAAAATTTTAATTAATGAATTTCTTGGCTCTATTAAAAATGTGGTGAAAATGAAAATGCAAATTTGTAGAGATGAATTTTTTTTTTCGGGAGGGAAATTAACAAAAACGGAAATGAACTGAATGATTTGAACAAGAAAGAGAGACAAAGAAAGAAGGATTAAGAGTTCTATATATCTAGAGAATTTGAAAGGGTGCTCAATCAAATATTTACAATTTTTTTATACTTCTATATTTTATAAGAGTTTTTTTAAGGATGAAAATTTCGTTGTTTTTTCATCATTCTGTGTGTTGATCCAGTTGATGATTAATTCGAGATCGTGGCATTGAGAGGCGGCATGGAAATGAGAAAAAGGATACTTTAGATATTTTGAGATAAATGAATTTTGTTTTATAGATCAGGCTTTGGAAATTTCAATGGATTGATTATATTCCTCATCAAAAATGTGCTAGATCTGTGTTTGATAAAACACTAGCTAGATATTTGTGGATTAGGAATCAAAATCAATTAGTTGAATTAGTTTTTAAAGCTGATATCAAGTCGATTTGATTCTTAGAAACGAAGTCGAATTAAACTGACTTGAGATTGATAGCTTATTATGGACATAAGTTTGGTGTCTGAGCAGAGTGGGGGAAATACCATATGAAGCCGAATTTGCCAGTACGAGAGTAAGACCTCTGTGGTCGAGTGGTTAGGCGATAGACAGGATATCTGATCACTCAAGAGTGAAGATGTAGGTTCGATTCCCACCAAAATCACAATTATTCGCCGAATGCTTTCGGAATTACAGTGAGTATTATCTTCTCTAAAATCATGTATGTACGATGCACTAAGTCTGATGTTACCTAACATAAGTTTAGTCAAGCGTCAAGCTCCTTAAGAAACACCTACAATACACTAGTGCAGAATAGTTTGAGAAGCACTTAGGAAGGTCTATTGACTAATGTGGTTTCCTTAATATTAAGATAATCTTAATATCAGGACCACTTATAAGGTCTTAAACCTTATTCAACCTCCAAATATTTAATCAATTCAATTCTCCGAAATGTCCAGAGCCTGTCATTTAATAATTAATAAAAGAATGCTAATAAATATTGCTGTACCCCGCTTAGCAAGCGAAGCATTTAAATACTTTTTGAAAAGCTTTCACAATTTGCTTGATGCTCAGTAAATTAATCATTATAAAATGCCAAGGATTAAATACTGATACGCAAAGGAAAAAGAGAAAGAAGGGACAATATTTAAAACACAAAAAGGAAGAAGAAGAAAATGTGAAGAACCACTTCTTCTTCTTTTTCTATTTTGAACGATGTTTGGTTAGCTTTTATCTGTTCCATATTTTGAGTGATACTTACATAGCACAATTGCCTTAGTTTAGAAACCATAAGAATCTCTCGCACATTTTCATTACGTTAAACGCTTGAAGAATGAGTTTTTATATATTTTTTCGAGTTAACGACGATTTAAATTCATCCGAAATTTTCTTCTTTAATGTGGTTTTTTTAAATTTATCTTATTAAATTATTTATATCCTTAACCTACTAGGGAGGGGGAAATTAAATGTTCCTGATATCACTACAAAAATGTTCATCATCATTTCTTTCTTTTTTTTACGAAGTCTTAATGAAAAATAAGAAAATTTTTGTGTTTTTTTGTTGTTGTTGTTGTTTGCTTTTACAAAGAATGGATTTTTTTAAAGGTTGGAGAGAAGCATCGATGCTGATGTCATCCCATTAAAAGTGATGATGGTCACAAGAGCTGTCACACTTCCTTCATTCCATTCTTGTCTTCTTCGTCTTTTTGAAAAATATTATCGCTAAAATACATTATCCATCTGATTCACTTCATTTACTTTTATTCTTTGCTATACTATATTCTTTATTTATATTGGACAATCTTGCGCTAAGGCGCGCAGTTCCTCTCCTACTGTACTTGGATATATTATCGGCGAAAGCGATTTCTTCAAACGCACTTGATCCTCTGTTGTTTTACGATATACGGGATTATCAAAGTTTATAGACGTTAGATTTTTGTGAACATAATGTCGGTAGACAAACACAGCCAGCTTGAGATGAAGGAAAGGAAGAAAAAAATTATAATGAAAATTAATGGAACATGATTTTTACATTTTTATCACGCTCAATGCTCATTTTTTTTGGTTCTTTCAAACAGCAAACAGCTCACTGTTTGCACAACACTGCTGGTGATGATAGCACCAAAAGAGAATAAGGGAGGAAATGTTATTTCAAAGCTTAAGCTAAGGAAGATTTTATTTATAGCGCATTCTTAAGGTGAAATGAATGTAATTTTAGATAATATCCTTGAATGAGTTCTTACTAATTTTTTAAATTAGAGGTTGTGAATAATAAGGAATATAAACTAGATGTGAGAAGAAAGAAGACATTCTATTACAAATGTGAGCCTTAAAATCTCCAATCTTCCATAAAATTATGCTTCAAATAACTTATCATTCTCTCCCTTAAATATTCTTATTAAAGATCGTTCAGGTTTTAAGTCGTGCTGGCGAAGAAATACCAGCAAGGATTTTTATTAGCATCACATAACTTTCGAACGACCCCTTATCAAGACAATAAGAACATGGCTGATAGAACGAAGCAAACTAAGTACATAAAATGACTTACGACTGTTAAGACGAGCAACAGCAACGTAGCAATGAGAATTGTTACAATAGCGATGTATCCAGAGTCGGGTGCAACATTCAGGACTTGTTCTGGTTGTGTGGCATTATTGTAAAGTCCAGCTGTGAAATAAAAATAAAAAGTAATTCCATTAATATTTGTGGTAATTAGCTAAATGCCAGTAATTTGTAGGTTAATAATTTCCCACCATAGTTTTTAAATTACAATTATGTTTGTATCATGAACAGAGACTGTGTGGCATGTATGAGACGTGGACTGAAATGTGAGAATGGGTGAAGGATGAGCAATAAAAAAAAAATTTATGCTTATGCATTATGTTAACAAAAACGCTAATTAATGTCCTTTTATGAAATTAAAAATTATAATAAAAAAAAATATTTGTCACGTTTGTAGTTTGTGGATGCTCTGTTCTAATGAGAATTAAAAAATCTCATAGGACAGTGAAATTTGATGGTTTTGCTGATGGATAAATTTAAATTTAAGTTCAAGAGCTTTAATATCCATAGATTATAAAATGTAAGGTCGTTCACTTATGCCATCCGAAGTGAGAGAGTGCCATAAGACTTTTAATATTCCAAACTCAGTCTCAAGCCTCACGCTTGATAAAACAAAACAGAAACTCAAACTACACTAAAACAAAGTACCAATTTATAACAAAATTATGACTAAAACTAATGTTTAATGCTACATTAACCATACCATAAGGAATAAATTAATTAATTTTCTACTTATAACCCATCACCAACATTAAAAATAAAACAAATCACATGTACGTCAACAAATTAATCATAAAAGATAAAAATTATGTCCGCATGTGTTCCATGAATGAGCAAAAAAAAAGCTTATTTTACGTGTGCAATTGTGTAGGTGAATGTGAGGATGGATGCTGTGGAAAATGAAAATTAATGTTTGCTTATTTTTATTCTCCATTCCTTCTGATGCTCTGCTTACTTTTTTTCCCTTTCATTGTTTACGTTCGCATTTTTTTCTGTGCTCCTGCATAAATATTATTTACGTGGCTTATGTAAAAGTATTAAAGCAAAACGAAAAAAAAAGGAATTGAATAAAATTGATGTTGACTACGTACAATCAGCGAGGATTTAAAGAAAATCTTTATTTATTGCTTATTGATGGAAATAAACTTGATTTATATTTTAGACACATACGGAGCTACAAATGAAGTGATGAATAGAAATTAGAATCAAATCGGTCTTTACTCGAACAGAAGAAATCGAAGAAGAAGTTCAATGATTTAAGATTCAAAGATGTCATAATATTATAAGTCAAATTAAATGCTTGAAAAATTCATAAAAATCTTTAAATTGTGCAAAAGTCAGCAAGACAATTGCCTCAAATCGAATGTGAATGATTTGTTTTTCGTTGATTTAAATCAAGCCTACATTCTCAAAATTGAAGGTATTGGTCAAGGCATAATTTGAGCTTAAAGCAACGTTGGATAAAGATTTAAGCCAGCAACTTAAAATGTAGTGTAGAAATAAAAGGAACGAGATTGTCACCTCGTGAGCATTGTGCGAATCCTTGTCATATCGACAGAACTCTATAAAATGATTGAGAGATCGGTCTCTGGTGGAAACCAAACCCATGTCTTCACAAAAGAGGGTTATAAAGGCTCAGCTCAACACAGAGATCTAATTGGTTATATTATAAATTTAATAGATGATACGAGAACCTTAATTCATACGACCTAGATTAATAGTAAATTCTAAATTTTAAGCAACGTCGACAAATAAAAACAAGAGTGTAATTTACAATCAATATGAATTGAGCATTGAAATAAAAAATTCAGACATAAGAAAAATGTGAACAATTAACAGCAGACACAGATTTCTTTGTTTTGCAGCATTTACAGTGAAAGGTTGATTAATCAATCTCCCTGTCGTATTTACGATAGAGTGAACTTTTTTTTCCATTTCACAATTCATTCAATTAAACCTTAAATGTCATTGAGCAGTGAAATAATTAACAATAATTAATTGCGAGCATCTTGAAATGACACGGGGGTTATTAATTATAAATTAATCATTACTGCTCGGTTACTGCCACCATTGCTACTAATTTTATTCCAGTCTTTTTCTATTCACAAATGTTGATAATGAAGTGCATCAAGTCGTTGTTGTTTGAGGATTATGGCTAAGAGAAAAATTATGAAAATTTAATTGGAAATGAAAATGAGAGAAGAACAAGCGGGGAATTTGTTAAAGGAGCTATATTTTAAGAGCAGGGACCAAAGACTCTCGCTATGCTCTTAGAAAAGTTTACTTAAAATAACTCAATTAGAAGAGAATTTTCCGTCACTAAGTTTTATGCATTTTCCTTAGGATACAATTCAAAATTTCTTAGTTTTTGGTTCCAGATCTAACTTATATCTTACTGAATCTAAGTTTTTGGTTCCAGCTATGACTTATATTTTCCTGGATCTTAGTTTTTAGGTCCGGACATGAATTGACTATGATTTTGGTAATCTATCCGAGGAACATGCATTTAATTCGTCCGTTCATATGTGTACCGACTTCCATACTAGTTTGAACAGTTTCAACTTCACGTGCATCTGATAATTCATAACAAAAGCTGCTTGTACAAATAATACCTTGTAATTCCTTCATTTCCTTCCTTCTTAAGAATAGCTTTCAAGTTAATTAACACAAACAATAAAAGAATTTTTAAATGCTTCAAGAGAAACTCATTAAATGAATTCTTAGAAGTCCTAAATATTAAAAAAAAATACCCGTTTCTATTTCCATAAAGCTTCACTTCAGGCACCGTAATGAAAAAAGAAATAATAAAAACTACCTCAACCATAACAAAAATTTCCTCTAAGCGGGAAGAAACAGAATTTTTGTAAAAAAAAAAAAGTCTTAATGAAGAAAAATGTTCGCGACGAGTAGAACAATGAGTAAGGCTTTAAAAGTTATTACGTCTATATGGAAATAAAAAAAAAATTATATTGTAAGTTATTGCTATGAAGGATTTTGTTTCGTTTTTTTTTAAAAAAAAATTATGACATTTAATAAATTGATGGGACATGAATTGTAATTCTATCATTAAATTAGAATTACTTCCAGCATTTCATTTTATGAGCTTGCTCTGAAGTTAAATTGAACGTGAAATAAGGGAAGTAAATGTATAGTTGATACGAGCAGGTGATTTTGAGCTTTAATTTATCAGATTTTTCATCTCCGTTATGATTCCATTTCACAGCTTAGAGAGCGCGTAATACAAGATTTTAATGGATATTCACGAATTTTGCATTTCCTTTTTCTGCTTGAGAAATTTATTAAAATCCATTAAGAGTTGATAGTCGTCACGTTTCATGAAAGGTGAAAAATGAGCCTCAATTTCAATTCCTTCCTGCTTATTGATTTCTATACATTTTCATTTGCATTTCTTTTCACTTTCAATTCATTTGCATTTTCAATTGTATTTTGAGGTTTTGAGCATTCTCAGGCATAACTACATTCATCGCAATTTAAAGTCTAGATTTTGATATTTTCGAGTATTCAATTAAGTTTCAAGATTTCATATTGATTGCAAATGTACAAATTATGCAGTTCGAATTTCTCATATCAAGCACTTCCATAAAATGCTATTTTCCATGAATGCACAAAATTCTTAAAGTTTACAAACATCCAAAAACCAAAGATCTTCAATATTGAACCTTTAAGACAGCTTAAGAATTTTCTTTTCAGCCTCAAGAAACCGCAAGAATTGAAATTCATCGCCCACTTACAAAGATGAAAATAAGGAAGAAATGAATACAGCTGTGACGCTGTTGGTGACCCAAAATCATTCTGTCCTCGATTCGCAAAAAAGAAAAAATATTTCAATTGGAAAACAAAAAAACGTTGATTGACACAAAACCTACTTTACTGTTACTGACCTCAAAGGAGCATCGACACAAATGATTTAAAATTGGATCTACATAGATTCCTTGTGTTATGTTAGTCGTACACATTAAGAACGCAATCACAAATGGATCTTTACCTCGTGTACATAAAAATTTTAATACTTTTATGTTTGTATGTGAAAAATTTTTGTCGGCGCTAGAAATGTTCTCAAAAACTTCTTTCTTACGGTAATTATCAGAATGCTCAACAAGTACCGAAGACCAATAATAAGTATCTGAGGCATTAACTGGAAGCAATGCGTAATCCTTAGGTGAACCAGCACCTATCGATGAACCTGCATCTGACGAATTAGCTTCTTTTCTTTTCAAAATGTCACAAATACCTGACTTATTCAAATATTCCAGACTCAAGCGTCGATCAATTTCGATAATTTTATCATGCAAATTTAATCCTCGTCCTTTTCCTGATGTTGATAATGTTAATAGCGTAGAAAAATAATGTTATTAATTATAAGCAGCACAAACACACTCAAACTCACAGCAAGCAAAAAATTAATCAAGTCAAAATTTATCTTAATTCTTCCTCATTCCTCAATTTATTTTCTGTCTGTTCAATTATGGAACATCTCATGTTATTTAGATTGTTCTGTTGCTAAATAAATAAGTTTGTGTATATCATACAGATTGTTACATAGCTCAGAGATAAATAACTTTTGGGATATGTTATCTACAAAAGATATTCGGTATGATGCATTTGGATGATGTTGAAAAAATTTACGTATATACTGTTATTGATATAGACATAACTAGGAGATTCTAATGGGATATTCAAATTTGTGTGATAATAAAATTCATAAAAAATTATTCAACAATGATACATCCCTGTCTATGAAAAGTTATTGCCCGTATCAGTTATTTCCAAATGTCAAGCTTTCAATTCGATACAGAAGCTTTAAGAATTTTAGAATTTATTTGTCCGATGAATGTTTAAAATATCTGGAATTTCTCTGAGCTTTTTACACTGAAATCTTAATTATTCTATTTCGGCAGGATATAAAGCTCCATTCCTAAAATCTACAAAATAATTGAAGGCAATCCTCAAAGCATGACAAAAATCTCGATATGGGTTCAAAATACAAGGTAATATTTATAATTAAATTAACTTCCATTTCCACTCTCTTCAACATTATTTCTGATTTTTTGTTTACTTTAGTTCTTCTATTCCTACTTCAACTTATCGTCTTGTTCAAACATACGTTAAAAACTCACGTAGATCACAAAACGTCATCATCATCAGAATCCATTAATATGATAGAATGTGATGATTTTTTATGTATACAGTAAAAGGGGCTGTTTATAAATGACGTCAGTTAAAAATCGAGAGTCTCCTTACTTTCAAAACTACAAGATAGGGTTGCGATACAGGCACCTGTGCATAGGTGAGAACCGTACAATTCCTTCTTATTCTTCTTAATTAACTTTATTACGGTCCATCAGCTTATTGCTATTTAAAGACCGTTCACAATTGACGATAATCCGTTGTGTTCCAATAATATTCAATATGTCTAGGTTATGGTTATGATAGAACCTTCTTGTCCACGATTGTTGGTAAAACACAAAAAACCCACGTGAAACAGTTGATTCTCCTCACAACTGCCGCCGATCGTGATTTGTCAATGTAATTAAATGTTCTTTGGTATTCCGTTTATATGATGATCAATTCCGTTTTATCAAGATTATGTGCAAAATTTGCACATTTTTTTCCAATTTCAATTTATATCCAAAATTTAATTAAATCGCGACTTTGATGAGTTTTCTCCTTGGTATTTTTGTTCTTTGTTACTTTGAAGACAGTTCTCGTAGGTTTGTGACTTATTCCTTCGCGTAATTAATTAATTTTGAAGTATTGCACAATTCCACAACCTCCTCATTTGGAGGTTGGGAGACAACTGCCGTACCTTGATAATTCCTTGATAATTTATAAGATTTTTTCTAATAAAACCATACAAATTCTAATAAAACCTCATAAATTATCACAGAATTTTAAGGTTCTCACCTGTGCACCTAAGCTCCACATAGGAACATGGTTACAGTAAGTAAGTAAGTACCTGTGCACAGATGCCTGTATCGCAACCCTGAAGTACAGAACCCCTTTAAATCTTGCACATCATGTACGAACAGCCTCAAAGGAAGAAGACGAATGAATGTGTCGAGTACAAGGGCAGAGATCTCATCTATATTTAGAAATTCAATATAAAAGACATCAAAAGACCTTCTTTTATTCCTTGAAAATTGTTTATGTTTGTAGATTCAACACATCCTTACACTCATAAATGAGAATTCATTTGGAAAATTGACATTATGATTGTGAAGAAAAAATAAAAAAAGCTTTTTGATAAATTAAAATTTGAATCTTTCCCAGAGATTGGATTATTTGTCATGAGTAAGTTTGTAGAGCAACATGTTTGCCTCGAATATTCGTAATTTACTGCATATGTGGATGTATACACATCATGGAGTTTATAAATAATTTCCTTTCAGCTTTTTTGTGCTGTGCTGTTGAATAAATGTATGATTTTTAAAGTATGAGGGTTGCTTTTGAATGAATTTATGGAACGCTTTTAAATTTCAGTTCTGGAAATCAATTGCTGTATGTTCTATGATTTTTGATGAATATACCAGACCAACCTTACAGCATTGTGAAAAGTTCTCGTTGAAACGACATTTTCAAGCACTTAGCTTTTAGAAGATATCATAAGCAGTTCCCAGAAAATCGCTAAAACATCTCCAATCCAAGACAAAATGACCCCAAACATTTCATTTATTCCAAGAACAAATTTATAAAACTTTTGAACTTGTTTTGCTTTCATTCTTCTTCACTTCCACAAATGAAGAAGCTTCAAGGATCATTCACATACCAATTCCACACTTTTAACAGACAGAAAAGCTGAGGCGAGGAAAGAAAGCTCTCAAGAAGATTTTTTTTTTACAATGAATTTGTTTCGTTGTCGAGTGCAGAACAATCACGAAAGTGTAATAAATTCACTTCTCATTCACTCATCTTAAAGTTGTTTTCTTGCCTTTTACCATTAAAAATTGTTATTGTAATTAATGTCTCTAGCAAGCAATGGGGAGGCAAAAAAAGGTGTATGTGAAGGTGAAAATAAAATTAATAAAAAAAATAATAAAATAAAGCTTGTCGAGCCTAGAAATTACTCACTGTGCGATCTAAAAATATCTTTATCACTATCATAAATATTTGATGAGTGATGATGTATCGGATGCATACTTTTTACTTCAGTTGTTTCGTGATGATTTGTGCTCGAATTTTCGACTTCCTCTGGTGTTGTTGTTGTTGTTGTTTGGGTATCTGAATATTGTTGTCAATTTTCAAGGATGTTCATGAATGATTCGTAGAATTAAGTCGTTGATGAGCATGGGAGAATGTTCAAAATTTTGATAATAAATTTACAACATATTCGCCATATCCCACAGAGATTACAAAAATAAAAATCCAATTTAAATATTGCAGATTTCATAAAATAATCACAAATTCATCCAATATTCACAGAATTCCAATCGATAAGCAATGTTGGTTGTGTAAATAAATTTATTATGATGATGTTTTTTTTTTGTTATCGCAGATATTGTAGTTTCAGAAATAAAGTATGTATAAAGCACATCCATGGCAGTGTATTATTGTTGAAACACAAAAATTGTTATTGTGTAGATGGAGGGACATACAAAATCATAACAATTGGCGATGGAATCGAGAAATAAATAAAAATATAAAAATAAAAAAATTAAATTAAAAATATTTTATTAGATTAACAGAAAATAAATTGGGAAAATGTTGTATGGCTGTTCATTTTTCTGTTTATAAATAAAAATTGGTATCCAGGGGATTTAATTGCAATTTAGCCATTATGATATAAATCGATAATCTCTCATTTTATAAATCCCAAAAATAAAGGATTATCACGGATGAGCAAGTTGAAAATGTTCCCTAGAATACCATAACACAAGTTATGTGGAAATTGGAGATGGAGAAGAATGTAAAAATATTGCTTTGGCATCAACTAGAGGTTCCATAAGAGCTTTTGTGTGTGAAAATTTATTGAGTTCCTTAATGATGAGGTTTATTGTTAGATGTATATCAAGCCATATATTCCCAATAGAAATGTGAATTCATGAATGTATCTACTCTGTCCAGAGTCAAACTCAACCCCCTCGAAAAATTACTGGATACGTCTCTGACTTTGTCCAAAACATAATTCATAGCAAGAATGCATTTACTAAGCTCACAAGTTGTATTGATGTCAAGCTTTGGAACTCAGATCTTGTGTTGCCAATAAAGCTATCATCTTTAAAGCTTTGTTGATTCTCGAATTGCTCGAACTATTTTGAAACATTTCTAGTTGTTATTAAGCTCATAGCCTTTTTTTGGGATGCTACAGATTGTCAAATTATCTAAGAAATGATTCAACGTAAGCAATGAACTGAAAGCCTTAGGTCTAAGTCGAGCAATCGCTTATTGAACCAACACTAGCATTGTATTGTCGCTATGGACATAAAGGCTTGAATAGCTTTTGCTTTATAAGCTAATCTAAATCCATTGAAACCACCATCAACAATAAAGTGACCAATAAATACATTAAATTTTCCAATTAAATCCCATTCTCAGAAAAACTATTAATAAAAATCAATTGATTGACATTTTCATACCAGACAATATCCCCTTTTAACAAATTTTTCCCAGAAATTCACACACATCACATCATGTCGGAACCCCTATTGAACATCAAGCAATATAATAAAAAGTAGGAAAGAGGAAAAAAAAATTAATTGAAAAAGTTTTTTCTTCTCTCTTTCTGTGATGGCCATAAAAAAGTTCTTTCCCCCAAAATCTCTGATAAATGTGGATCAATAAACGATGATGAAAAAATGGTCTATTTTTCAATTTTCACATCCAATTGAATCACATTCATCAGTGAAAGAGGCAAAAAAAAATAAAATAAAACAAGTTGAATGAGGGACAGATTGAAGTGAAAGGGAAACGAAATAAAAAAAGAATTGAAGGGCGAAACCACAAAAATGGCAAGAGCACTTACCATCTTCAACACACATCAGGCCATCGTTCAGGAGTTTTAATCCTGTCGGACATGCACATGATATTCTCGGACTCTTATCGTTTATATGGGGTGCTGGTAAACATAAATGAGAGCAGTGTCCATTCACTGCTTGACAATGATTCTCACCATCTGGCTGTCGATAGGGATGATACACATGAATTGTCATCGGATGTTGGAGCTGTGCATGATCATTGAATTGTACAAGATTTGTGGGTTGATATATGGGAAAGAAAGGGAAATTCAATTAACATATGTTATTCTACTTCCAACTGAGTGAAGGAATTGAGAACATTTGATTCGTTTAATTTGTATAGCTATGGCGCATTTTTGCAGTATTTTTTGGTCTTCAAAACTTGAGTTTCAATAGAAAATTATGAAATTTTCTTAAAGCTTTGAAAAAGCTTCATATTCAGCTTTAAATAAATGTTTAATCTTGCTCAAAGAGCCTTGGAAAAACAACACCTGTTTCTGCAAATCAGCGCTTGAGTATACAATCATTTATGCATGTTCTTACCATATGTAATGCTGTGACAGGTTCTACATCTTTTCCATTGAATTTATTTGCACGAAATACAGCCTCCTTGTCCCAATCGGTCCAATACACATAATCTTCGAATGTTGTAATTGAAAATGGATGTCTGAGGGTATCGGTTGAATGGAGCACTAAATTACGTCCCGTACCATCGTAATTACATGATGAAATTACATTTAATTTAGCATCGACCTGTATTTGTGTTATGTATGAAAATGTATAAAAGTTAAGATTCCATGTAATGTTGAATAGATTAATTTAGTATCAGCAATTAATTTACCCAGTAAATTCTCTTCTGCACGATATCAAGTGTCAATCCGTTCGGCCATTTCACATCATAGCTAACAATCGTTTGTCGATGTGTTCCATCCATACCAGCACGTTCTATTCTCGGATTCGATCCCCAATCACTCCAAAACATCCAGCCTTCCAATGGATTTAATGCAATTGCTCGTGGTATTTCCAAGTTGTCTTTTATCAGTACCTTTCCCATATTACCATCAAAATTCATTATCTCAATTGTGTAGCGTTTTGTGTCAGTGAAATAAATGTGATTGTAAATCCAATCTACCGCAAGTCCATCTGATGTCACTGTCTTGTCCTGAAGAACCACAATTTGCTCCGTACCTTCGTCAATTGGTGCTCTAATGGACAAGATAACAAGTTTAGATTGTGAGAGAGTGGAAGAAGATTGAAAATTAAATTGTGTGGTTTGAAGCAAACTCAAATTAATTCTTTTTTCCATTTTATAGTAACTTACTTGTAGACACGCTGTTCAGTTACGTCGCTCCAGAAAATCATACCAGTACGAAAAACATAGTCTAATGCTGTGGCCGATCGTGTTTCATTAACAATTGATGTCATTTCACGGTGGTCGAGTGAGATTTTCCTAATATCATGTCGACGTGCGAAGAGAAGTGAGGCATGTCCTTCGGTCGCTTTACATTTCGTATGATCACGTGGATCCTTTAAATAGCCTGATGCACATTCACACTAGATATGAGAATGAGAATGATAGTTATCATAGTGTGTCAATAACATTTTTAATGAATACTATTAAGGGCGTCTAAGGAAGTTCTTAACTATTTCATGAAATTCAATAAAATTGTTAACGACTAAGAGTTTAAAGTCATCATTTGGAAAATTGAAACCTTCAACTCGTAAGCATCCTTTATGAACTCTAACAAAATTACATCTCATGTGCCATCCCCAAAAGCTACTACTTACTTTAAAACCTCCTTGTTCATTAGTACATAATTGGGAGCACGAACCAGGTATTTCACATTCATTAATATCCTCACACGTACGATTGTCACTTAACAATTTATATCCCTTCCGGCATTCACAATAAAATCCAGCCTGTGTATCTACGCATATATCCGAACATCCGCCGTTATTCGCTTTACATTCATCACGTCCACATTTATCAATCGGTTCATCTTCCATATTTGGACAATCTTGTATCTTATCACAAACTTTTGACAGCTGAATACACATGCCGTCACCACAATCGAATTCTGTCTTGCGGTCACATGTTCTGTCTGGAATTGCTATGGGATTTAAAAGAGGGAAAATAATAAATTGAAAATTTATCGATTGAGAGGAAAATTTTTGCTTCTTGCTTACGGCAATTTAACTCGTCACTTCCATCTTTGCACTCTGCTTTACCGGAGCAATGGAATCGACCGTGAATGCATGTCTTATCTGCACATTGAAATTGATCTGCACGACATGTGATGTTTTGGCAAATTGGTGGCTTCTCATCGTCACCTCCAGGACAGTCTTGCTCGCCATCACACACCCAAGAACGATGTATGCATGTTATGCCATCTTTACATTGATATTCGGCTTGTACACATGAGGATTCACGTCGAATGATAATTGAGCAGTTCTATAAATGAGAGAAGATGCAGACAAAGATGTTTGTAAGATGATGATTCAGTTATTCATGCATAATTTAGGAAATTTAATATCTTAAATCAAAGTTATGTGTTCAGCAGAATCTGATTAGTCAAATATTCTGCATAATCGAATCAACTTCATACAATGAGGCTTGCTGCTCGAGTTACGACTTAATTAATTTTATTAAAAATGTCTGTGCCAATAAAGGGTCAAGATTAGTCCGGATCATACCATTTTTGAACTATAATCCATAGCAAAAATTAATTCAATATAAATGTTGAGTTGAAACTAACCAGACCATAAAACTACACAAAAGAACTGATAAAGCCACAAAAAATTATTATATTCCAGCTGAAAGGGGTGTGTGAGAAATGAAATTTATTATTTATATCAAAAACTTTTCAATGTTAATGCCTCAAGTCATTGAATGGTAATTGAATTTTGGGTTATGGGAAAGTTTGTTCTCATGTTCCTTTTTTGCTGTTTTTATTTTTCTTTTAACAAAAGCAAAAAAATCAAATTGAAAAATCTTCAATTTCAGAATCAGCACAAGATGCTACTGAAGGAATAAGGCAACTCATTGACCTTTTTATTTATTATTTTACAAAAAAATTCTTTTATGTCCAAATAACTCTAACGAAGAAGCATACCCAAGGCACTTATTTCCCTTGAGATTAAAAACATTTGCAACATTTAACAGACAGTAAAGTGAAGGATAAAAATAATTTAGATTCTTACCTTTTCATCGGATCCATCAGGGCAATCCATTTCACCATCGCAACGCCATTTTGATGTAATGCAATACTTTTCAGAACATTGAAACTGTTTAATCGGATCACACATTTTTGGTGTACATTTCGCCTCATCACTTCCATCGCCACAATCATCATCTCGATCACAAACCCATCTATTTTGTATACATCTACCATTATTACAGGTAAACTCGTCAGAGCGGCAGGTATCATCTGAAAGTCATAAAAAAGTTTCTCTTAAGTAAATCATTTTGTAATAAGACGTATTTTTTTGGGGGAGATGGGCGCTTTTATTTGGGGGTGAAAAAATATTGATTTAATAAAAATGTTGGAAGTCATTAACTTAGTTTTGTTGTAAACAGAGGCTTTTGACATTTTGTAATGAGTAAAGCAAGACTAAAGCTGAGATAAAGTTAATATTACTCAATCTTTAAACCGAGAATAATGTCTCATGAATTTGAAGTTGAAACTCTCATCATCGACATTGAATCAACCTTTTCATCTCACATCGAATTTCAACCATCTTAAATTTCCATTAGATATTCTTTAATTATAGAAAATTCCGATGAATTCTTAAAATAAAAACTTGAGCACGCAACGGTGCAAAATCTAAAGTCAAACAAACAGCCACAGATGCTATAAAAATCATTTCAAATTTCCTAACCTCTCAGAATAAAAGTAAACAATAAATTCAAATAAAAGCGCGAAGAATAAAAAGAAATCCTTGATTTGTTTTAAAGTCATTCTGTTTGCGTGTGTTTTTAAGTCTATTCAACTTCTTTTTTATGGATTGAGCTTGTTTATTTCCGAAGAAATGTTTTTTGAATCTTAGAACTTTTCACCGATTGCCTTTTTTATTTCTATTTTGACAGTCTGCATCAATCGATCCGATTTCCAATGTTTTCTTTATCGTCTGTTCGTCAATTATTCTAATTTTCTTCTATTTAGCAAAAGTAACTTTTCCTTCTTCTTAGCGAGCCACACGAAACAGATGGAGGAGATTTTTCTTCTCTTTAACTTTGATTTCATTATGCGCAACTGGAGGGAAAAAAATTCCTTCAATTTTCATCGAGTCATTTGCATAATTTTGAATATAATTTACATTAAATATCATCATCATTATCGTCATTAATGATGGTTTCATTACTAAGCTCATTGAAAATTTTGTTTATTTTACGTTAATCACTAAATTCCTCGTTCTTTATGGAAAATTTTGATTATTAATTCTTCATGTTTTAGTCTAATCACGTATCTTGAGTTTGCAAATGGAAGAATTATCTCTCAAATTGCTATTATGATTTGACAAATATGGAAATTGTTTTTATTATGTTTAATGTACATCAAATGTCATTGCTTATAGCAATAAAACATGTACATACGTGGGATTAAGTTGATTTCTATGTTGCGTTCATTTTTGTTTTATTGAAAAAACTTATTTTTATGCCTTAGATAAAAAAAAAACTCTTCAAATTTAACACACGAGCCTGCCCTTCTCGGAAGGATGATTAATTTTAGCATATTTTACAGCATCGAACGTAAATTGTTAATTCATTTGGTTACTGTAAAGCGAGTTCCTTTAAAGCTTATTATAAATTTCGCAGAATATTGTTTAACCCTTGTTTTTATAACTCGGTTACATTGGAATTTCCAATAAAATGCTTAGTAGCAGCTACTTTGCATAATGATCCTTGAAAACTTTAAGCATTTATAAAGCTTAAAACCTTTTTTTTTGTAACTGATATGAACGACAAAGTTTACATAATTTCTTTAAATCTGTTGCACAAGGAATGTTTAAAGTTTGGTTTCTATATCTTATTCAACTTTTCAAATTCTAAATTTACTCAAGTTTTATAATCCTCAAAATCAATGACACCAAATGAGAATTTAGTTTGAATAAAGTTATTAGTCTTTCAGTGTCTTCTTAATTAATTCTGGTTCATTTTGATCAACGACCTTGAAAAAATTTCAAAAAATATGGTCGGCAATAGACAAACCTTGATTCAAGGTCTCAGGTGTCTCAGGTCTGATACATCATATTGCTTAATTCGTTGATTTTGAGGTACATAATCAATGTTTTGTCTAGTGTCGACCATATTTTTTGAAATTTTTTTCAACTTTTTTTCAAAGAAGACGTCATTTCTTGTATTTTTAAGGGGTTCAATGTGCAATTGAGTAGCCAGATATTTTTTGAGAGGGGGGATTACTCATCCCCTCTGGGTACGTTTCTGAATTGAACTGCTGATTTTTCTAGATCATGTTTGGTAAGAAAAATTGAATTTGAATACAAATTGAAGTTGTAAAGTTATTCACAAGATCTTGAGAAATTTATATTGATCTTAAAATTACATAAAACTTTAAAGAATATGAAAAAAAATAAAAACTTTGAGATGATTTTGCAATAAAAAGTTTTCTCATCAAACGCATTTCATCGTGAACTTTCCGAGAAGGTTCAAATATTTTTTTTTATTGCTGTAAAAAACTTTATCGCTCAGCTTTTCACAACATTTGATAATTCATCTAAAATATTATTAGATTTGCACAACATCTGATACAACCAGACATCTCATATATGTAGCAAGACAAAAACCACATGTTACAGACAGCATGTCTACAAGAGTTAACCTCACAATTTATTCTTTAGTAATATCATAAAATTTACTTATTATGTTACAGTTTATGTCTTGATGCTTTGCAAATCAAATTTTACGAATAATTTTGTGCAAACAATTTGCAGAATTTCGCATGTCAAAAGAATTTTTAATGAAATTTTAATGTACTTTACAGCTTATAACAACAAAATGGCATTTATGTTGCTTCTCTCTTATTTGCATAATACTTTTTTCAATAATGCTTACTACTCCATGTGCAATAACATGTCGTGAACATAAAAGAATATTTCTTCATAATATTCAAGCTTGTGAAGCATATTGCCTTTAACATGTCATCATGTACACATACACGTATTGAACTTCATTTCTATCTCCTGTGAGAAAAAGTGAGATTGATGGATGGAAGTAATAAACTTCCGTGACTATCGAGAAATGTGACTGTCAAAACTATTTGCATTTGCAGATTCAAGGTACGAAAGTGAACTTCAGTCCAAATAAGCCTGTCAGCTATTTTAGCAAGTTTTAGTCTTTTACATTGACACTAAGGTTATCCTACTTGCCAATGAGGACTCTGGATTGCAAATGACACTTGGTAAGCTTGTTAAGCTTCTAGATTTAAGGTTCGTTCACTTATGACGTCCGAAATTAACGGTAATTTTTTAAAAAAGAACAATGAATTTCCTGGAATTTCTATTGTTTTTTTCTTGCTGCCCCCCCCCCCCCCCCCCCAAAGTGAACGTCCACTAACACAACTTTTAGCAAGTCTCTTTGAAACCTATACAATTTCCAGCATAGTTTATGATAGTAAGGTTCGGTCACTAACATAAACTATTGGTTTCAAACCCGAAACTGACAGACTGACAACGCACAATTCTATTTCCGATTCAAGAACCATTGAAATGACAATTCTCAACACCAATGAAAGAGTTCACGCGTGGAAGCCACAAGTATTTTATTTTATTCTCCCTCAAAAGAATTTTTTTTGTTGACGAAGGAATGTTCAATATTCTACATGCACATAACACAATGATAATAATAGCAATAATGATATGATGATGCAAAATATCAGAAGCTGGGATAGAAACAAAATTTTACTCAATTTTATGTAAGCGTCATGAGCAAGAATGAAAGCACATGAGTAACATAATATCGAAGAGTTAAGAGGTAGAAAAAAAAAGTTTTTTGTCACACGAAAGACTTTTGCCATTTTTGCACATTTAAGCAATTTTAATGTGAAATTGATTCAATGTAGTGTGAAGTAAAAAAAATGAAATTTTATTGAGATGCTGTAATAAAAATGTACATTTGCTTGCATAGCAATTTTATGTCTTTTCATGATGCAGCAAATTAAGGACATTCAGAAGACTTTTTTATATGGATGTAGACGTTCTGAATAATTTTGTTGTCACAAATTGCAGAGTTTAAGGAATTTTTTAAAAAAATTTCGATTACACAATAAACATCATAAAGACAGCTTTAAAAGTTTCGTTACACCCACGGTAAGGATTGACATGAAAATTCACTTACTGATTTAACAACAGAATGAATCCTTAAAATTCCCAGACAGTATTTGAAAGACTTTAGCTGGTTTAAGTAAATAAGGCGACAGTCAAAGAATATGTTGTGACATTTTGACGTCAAAGGGTTAGATCCAAACCAGTTAAAGGTTTTGAAGGAACGAATCAGTTTAAGACACACTTTCTGTGTTCAGCGATGGATTTATAATCATTATGGCCAAGAAACTTAGTTATTGAATCCATAGATGACGGTGAAAATGATTTAACTCAGAGTTTGGATCTGTCAATTGACTATCACCTGTCAACAGACAATACCTGAGACAGATCTGTCACCTGTGCCTGTTGACAGGTGATCTATATCGCAACTCTGATTTAAATAAGTATGTTCGATAGACAAAATATCAAAATAAGAATGAAAAAAAAATCTCTTCCATCGAAAAAACGCGCTATAAAATTCACATTGTTCTCCCTTCAAAAAGCTCAAAGGCTTCTCGTTATCATAAGCTTTCAAGATTTCAAATAACAAGATCTAATATGAGATTCAAATACCAAAACAGCTCAGTAACAATCTTGATTTCTATGAAACCCGAAACACTTTCTTTGTAATCCACCTAATATAAAATGCTTATTGCTATTCGAAATAAAAAAGAGCGAAACGAGAGAAAAAGAAGCAACAACGGAAACGAGTTGAACACAAAAGAAGACGTAGTAATGCTATTGAGCATTTAAAATTGCTGTGAGCCTGCCTTTTTCTTACAATGAAACAGGATATAATAAAGCTCAAGTACAAACATGTCTCAATTCGCAAATAATTTTAGCTTTACTATCTCTTACATATTTATATACACGTTAGGATACGACAATGAATGCTTAAAAGCAAGATGAAAAAGAAGACATAAAGGAATAAGAGAAGAAAAAAAATGTCCTTAGCTACGAAAATAATATTAAAGCTTATGCCCCCGAGAAATTCATAATAAACTTGAAACGTGACGACGTTACATTCTCGCTCATTCAATTTCATTTTAACGCGTTGTCTTTATATACTCGACACAAAAGCTCTCCTCTTTTGTCTGTTTTTCTTTTTAAA